CAAGAAAAGTCTAGCAGTGTCCCTCATACTCGATGTCACATGTGTCAATACTAAAGAAAGCCTGTTCGAAAACGCCAATCTTCACGCGAATACGCCTTGGACAATATTCACAGAAGCGAATGTGTTATATATCATAATTTATGGGATCATCAAATTCGGCTTATTTGGTTTATTTACTAGAACCCTACGAAAGCCCAGCACTGACCTAGTTTACTGTGAACGCTAAACACTGTCTGTAACGCCAGTGAAGCTATTTCATGTCTATAGTAAAAAATTATTTAATAAATATATTAGAAGATAGGATTTTAAAGAAAATATTTTTGCGTAGTATATATGTCGAATTTTATGTCAAAATAAGTTTTCAAATATTTAGACGTAAGGGAAGTAAATCTGTCAAAAGTTTAAGAGTTGCGTCCCTTGTACTGTTATTTTTTATTTTATTTTTTTTCTTTGTGGAAAAAAAAACTGATTTTTTTAAAACGATATCTTGGATATAAATGTAAAACTATGCCAAATTCTGAAGTAGAATCTTTAAGGCGGTTGAGAATCGACACTAACATCTCCGCGTTAATTCTTACGACCAAATCGATCTCAAATCTAGTGCTCCGACAGTTGGGTTTTTGCGGCTTTGTTGTCTGAAGCTCCTCATTATATTCATTATTGCTCAAGCCTGCGATCTGGAGTGTTCACTCAAATAATCTCACCAATTGTGTGACCGCATCAACTAGTGACAGAATAGCACCCAGACAATCAAAGATACGCGTAACCATCAGAAAGTGGATAGAATATGACGTATAAACGGCAAAAAATTAAGTTCCCGCTCCACATAGTTTCACATTGTATCAGATTCCTACATTTATTGTTTTAAATCTCAAATATGTGCATGTTAAACACATAGCGGCTCCCAACCAAGTATAATAAGTGATGCATTCTGATTGGTCGAAAAATATCAATTAGGTGTCGTCAACTACGTCCGAATGTATCGACCCAAATTTTGACCTCAAGTTGACACCACAAAATGTAAACATGTTCTCAATCCCTCACGTACCAAGAGAACTAATAAAAACGAAACTTCGACGCGACTTGGTCAGTGGGTCCTTAAAATATTCAACTCATTCACTTGACTTCATTGGAAATCGACACAACAATAAAGGAGACGACCCAAATTTTTCAACGCTACAACGAACCTTGTCACCCAATTCCAGGCTAAACATTAATTACTTAAATTAACATAAACCCAGCTTGCGAGATTCGCTCACTCCAACAAGACATATTATTCCACGACAGACATCAGGAACTCTAAAATATATGATGCTAAAGTTGTTAAAACACTTTATTTGTTGTGTTTTATAGAAAAATATTTATTGTTGAACAAATTCTTCTACTTGATTATTTTTCTTGTTGTTGTTGTCTTTGTGACATTTGATATAGTAAAAATAGTAGAGGGTCAGTTTTATTTGTATTTATAACCAATACAGATTGGCTAACCCACTATAACTTGCAGATGAGATTTGTCATAGGTTAGAACAGTGATTCTCAACTGCTGTGCCGCGACATAGTGTTCTGCGCGATCCTGTTAAGTGTGTCGCGAAATATTGTCACGACATACAAACCGGGTGTAACAGCAAAATTGTCTAAATCGTGTAACAGCATAATTGTCCATCCCACAAAATGTTTACTATCTTAAAAAACACTAAACTAATTGAGTTTCTTTTTTCCAGGTTTCAGCTTACGTTTAGCCATCTTGACACCATCTGTCGTAAGAATCACTAAAAAAAAGTCCTTTGAGTTATTCATCTAGAAAGAGAACAGGTTAAAATCGTTTTGTATCAGCCTCACTGTCTTTCCAGCTGAGCAATGGTGAGAGGGAAAAGATCATTCAGGCCTTCAATAATGATACGGACATTCATACTCTGGCTTCCATTTTCAAAGTCCATTCAAGAACCATCAAGAGAACGGTGTTATAAAATAAAATAAGACATATCCCGGCTGATTTACAGGCAAATAAACTAACATACTCAAGAGCGAGAGCCAGATGTGAACGGGACAAGGCCCCATCACAAAATGACCATTATCTTCGTTCCCGACGTACGAGTTCCGGTCGAAAAATAAAATAATATTTTAAAGTGTTTCTATTTTTCGAACAATAAAAATGCTTCCCTCCTAATTATACTCGCGTCGTTTTTCGAGCCTGTTAAGCCATACAAAAACGCCATAAAGGGGTCACACGGAAGTACAACGGCAGTCAACAGGAGGCCAGGGAAGAGACCTGTCACGGTCAGCCAGCAGAGTCAACAGGAGGCCAGGGAAGCGGTAGGCAGCAGCCAGCAGCAGTAGCGCCACGCAACCAGCGAGAACTACTATAAGAGATCAACCCAGATCTTCAGCCGGCCTATGAACTATACCACAAGTTAGCTGTCCCAAAACCACACGTTCCTCTTGAAATAAATCACGTAAATCTATTTCTACTGTTGTATTTCTTTCTTTCAACCATACGCTTGTCTATAACAACGGTGAATAAGTTTAAAATAAGAGGGAACAGTAGAAAGGAAAACTGGATCAGGAGGTCACAACAAGGTAGAGGGATCTTCATTTCAACTTAGAGCTAAATATATTCTTATTGTAAAGTCCAATAATGTTATAAAAACCTGGGAGAATTCTTGTAAGATATCTTTAATCTCTATCTATAAAAGGCAGGATATGTGTGTGTGTGTGTGTGTGTGTGTGTGTGTGTGTGTGTGTGTGTGTGTGTGTGTGACGAATGCACGGCCGCAATTTTCGACGGATTTGCACCAAAATTTACATGCACATGCTCCAAGTTAGCGGGAAGGCCAAGACCGACTTTGCATTTCCCAACTCCCTTCGATAGTGGAAATAATCGATTTTTTCATGCTTCTATGGCAATTTTCATGTAGTTTGCGGCCATTTTGTACTGGTAAGAGTTAGAGCCAATAGCTGGCTGCCACGAATATGCAGGAAGATTCTATTGGCCAGCGTGAGAGCCAACAGCTGACTGACACGAATGTTAACTAGCATGCTAGCATGCAAAAAAAATTCGATAGCTGCATTCGTCACAAGTGGGAAAATTTAAATCTGCATGGCACTTTACTCCAATTGGCTCATTCGCTTGCTTAAACTCAACATTGATTCTGATTCCGCAGAATTGGGTTGGGTGTGAAAAAGTATTTGTTGTTAACATTCTTTTTTCATTCGGTTTTTCCAATTACGAGTCCTTTTTTTAGAGCTGATCGTTTTGTGTTCATTTTGTTTAGTTCTTTTTTCGTAACAGATTTAATATTTAGTATAGAGCTTAGAAAAAATTTGCAGTGTGAGATAGGCAAGAAATGAGGCATGTAGCAACATCAGCGCAGCAAAGGGCACTCCTTTAAAGGCAAGGAAGTGAGACATGTAGAACATTAGCACGGCAAAGGGCACTCCTTTAAAGGCAAGGAAGAGCAAAAATATTTTAAGTCAAGTGATAGCGATTGCTGTATGAGTCGTACGATTTTTGAATCAAGCTCGGGCAACGCTGCTAGTCATTTCTAAGATACAACGGTTCAAAGCTTAATCTAACAATTGGACAATTTTGATGTTACACGATTTGGACAATTTTGCTGTTACATATATATGTTATATATATGCGTGCGTGCGTGCGTGCGTGCGTGTGTATGTGTGTGTGTGTGTGAATAATAACGGAAGCACAGGTTTCACACTCAATAAGCTTCACAAATAATTGAATAGAAACATTGAAACAAATTAAGTTCATATATGTATGTGTGTGTATTTTTTTTTTTTCATAAATATATGGTTTTATTTCATAACATTTAAATGTGTATTATCCTTTAAAGATATTGCTAAGTGTGCCGTGATATTTTCATTTGCCCGTAGGTGTGCCATTGCTTAAAAAGGTTGAGAAACATTGGATTAAATGATAGCTGAGTCACTCTATATTGAGTCATAAATGATTTCCTTTTCTGTTAATCGATGTAATTAATAAAGTACAATTGCATTTTATTTATAGACACACCATGCAAGTCCGTCGCTATGAGTAGATAGGTATGCCTATCATTCGGTTCATGTTCTCCCCGGTCTCTCCCGAATAGGTGTAGATGTTTATCCTTTGTATCCTGTTTAGGATTAGGTTTCCAGTTCCTTTTAAGGTTTACTTCTACTCTATACTTTTAACGTCTCTGCCTGAACTCTGAAATTTTATTTGCTATTTTTTTGTTATTTTTCCTCAATGGTAGTAGTGTAGCATCCCGCTAGCACTTTTTTTTTTTATCAATGTCTAATTTTGTACATTTTTGTGCAAAGTGGATCAGAAAGTCTATTCAGCTTAGTAAATATTTTCAGGAAAAATCAGCTTCTAATTGGTCAATAAATATCCACCCACGTACAAATATTTTTCCAGCGCGTGACCAAGTCAAGTTTCCCGCCAATTTGATGCGATTCTGTCACGTGATTACAATAATTATAAATAGCAGACACAATCTTGCTTTCTCTCTCTCCTTTCTTCATTCGCCTAAGAAGATGGGATCTTCAGGATTCTCATCTAGACCATGGGCGGTCAGACATTAAAAGCATATTCACGCATGCACGTATGTACAAACATTTCCAACTTACATTACAAACATACAGAACATTTCCAAACATGCAACAAGAACTTTTCTCTTTGAAATATTCTTCTAAAACTGCAGTTTATTCAGCAATTCTCAGCTTTATAATTAATTCAACTTTTGTGAGTTCAGATAAAAATATTCACAGTCTAAGAGACATAACACTAACAGATCTTTAACTTCTACGCATGTACATCAACACACAAAATAAATACAAATGTTATGTTTTAAAACCATTTTTGTTCCTTCTTATTTCATGTTTTGTGGTAATTTTATGTTAAATATAAATTGTGTGGTCATGTTATACACGCTGCCATAAACAGACATCTACAATTGTCCATTCTTATTACCATGCCACTACATATGGTAACCCCGACGTTTGACATGGGGCGAGAAAACAATTGGACCAGTACAGTAGATTTGCCTGTAGGGGATGGTCAGTCGGTAGGAATCACCGGATCGCCCTAATTTATTATTACCAAATAACCACAAAATATGAAACAAGAAGAAGAAACACATTCAACAAGAGAAGTTGCACAAGTAAATGGAATTTATATATGCATAACAACAATTGTACAAAACAGGAATTCAGTTGTGTTTGAAATGCTAATATATACTTGTCCTTGGAATTTTAAGTGAGGAAAATGTTCTTGTTGATAAAGTATTAAGTGTATTAAAAGGTGTTTGAGTTTGGAGAATTTTAGTAAGATGTAGCGTAACAGTTTAGTGACAAAAGTTATCTACCTTTGACCCTAAATACTTTTGTGTGCCAAAGATTGAATAAAATATCTTACGAAAATGCTGGAAGGAAGTTTGATTTGTAGTTAAGAACTAAACATAGTGAATAAAAAATTCCATTGTAAGAAATGTTCTGTGTATTCTGTTGAAGATAAATTTTATGATTGAGAATTTCCAATATGTGATAAATGAATCCAGGAATGGTGAGTGAGTGAATTGGATGCAGCTGCATTAAATTACCTTGACTTGACTTGAATTGTATTGAAGTTTGTTTTGTGTTGAAGTAACCCTAACTTTGTAAATTCAAAGAAACAAGCGTCATAGAGCAGTTTGGCAGATGTCAGCCGTGTGAAAAACGCACTAAAGAAAATGTGCTCGTGTACTCTATTTATTTTTCAATCACGTGATCGGCTCACGAACACGTTTAAAGATTTTGGCGGTAACCGGAGTCTAAACACTATTGCGTTGTTGCTATATATTGACCAATCAATGATGAAAAATGTAAGATATAAGCTCGGAGCCTGGATTGCGTTTAGGTTGCACAAAATTTGTCGTTAGCATAAGTAAACATACAGTAACATACAGTAAATGTACTTGAATATTTGTTATCCAATGAAAATCGTTAAATTAGACTACTATGATAATTAGTTAATGGATCCTTGGCGTATAAAGGTTTATCCCATGTTTCCTGTTTAGGATTAGGCTTTCGGTTTCTTCTAAAATCTTCTCATTCTTTTTCACTCCCAGTCGCCCTTTGCGTCTTAGTGAAATTATCGATTTGCTTGGGGTGAATTGATTAAAAACATGTTTCGAAAAGTTCACCTAGTTCAGACCTTTACTACCAGAACACCCCACGTTAATTCCACAGAGTCTACTTGTGGGAGCTACCAAAGTGGTGGTTAGGGATTATGTGTTTACAGTGTCGCAGTGTGCCCAAACACCACTCCCACCTTTTCTTAAACAACCCCGGATATGCCGTCCGGTAGAGAAAGGTCACGGCCCTTGTGTGCTAAAAATAGCAACGACATCCTTTCAAACTGTCAGAAACACACAAAACTCAATTTTCGCCACTAAACAAAAATAAAAGACCTTTAATTTGAACCGAAATTAATTTAAATACAATCAACAAACACCGAACACACTTTTGACTGTAATTAATACGGCCCGAAATTAATTATATTCATTTACTTGTTTAGCGTCACCGCTTTCTCTTATATGAGCCGTCATATCTAGATGCCGAGACTTCGCAGCGGTTTTAGCCGGCCAGGAGCAGCCTGGCCTTCGGGCTGGGTTGCGACCATGGCAAAGTCTAGTTTGGACCATATCAGGAGCTGCTAAGACAAGCTAAAGACTAACTGGACCAAAACTTGACTAAGTTTTGACCAGCTTGGACATGTTATGACCAATCTTTGACCAGTGACCCTATTGGAAACGCTCGGGTTTCCCAAAAACGACCTGTGTCATCTTGACCTCGTGGGAGTTAAGTAAATACCGCCCCGGGGAGCAGACCGGCCTTCGGGCTGGGTTGCGACCATGGCAAAGTCTAGTTTGGACCATATCAGGACCTGCTAAGACAAAGCCAAGACCAGAACTTGACTAAGCTTTGACCAGCTTGGACATGTTATGACCAAAACATTGATAAGCCTTGACCAGCTTGGACATATTATGATCAATCTTTGACCAGTGACCCTATGCGGGCTTGGGTTTTCCCACCTTGTGTCACGTCTTGGCCTGGGAGTCAAAGGGCTGAAAAACGACCTTGTGTCACATCTTGACCTCGACCAATCTTTGGACCATATCAGGACCCTAAGACAAGTCAAGACCAGAACTTGAAGCTTTGACCAGCTTGGACGTGTTTTCAAAACATTGACTAAGCCTTGACCAGCTTGGACGTTATGATCAATCTTTGACCAGTGACCCTATGCGGAAACGCTTGGGTTTTTCCACGAAAAACGACCTTGTGTCGTTTTGACCCCGAAAAAAACGAAAAAACCTTGTGTCACATCTTGACCTCGTGGGAGTCAAGTAAATACCGCCGGCCTGGGGGCAGGAAGCCTCCCTGATTCGCGACTTTGACGCGCCCAGTCAAATCGACCAAGCCCAGCAGCTGACGGGACCCAGCAGCAGTAGCAGCAGTCGTTCAAACAGTCCTTTTCAGGGCTAACTTCCGAAAGTCATTCGATCACCACTCTTCGAGGCTCCACTCACTTCACTCTTCGCTACTGCCTTCCCTCTGTGACGCCAGCTCACTCCTGCAACTTCCAGCACTCCTGCAGCATCCACCTCACTCCTGCAGCTTCCAGCACTCCTGCAGCTTCCAGCACTCCTGCAGCTTCCAGCACTCCTGCAGCTTGCAGCATCCAGCTCACTCCTGCAGCTTCCAGCACTCCTGCAGCATCCAGCTCACCCCAACAGCTTCCAGCGGCCTTCAGCTCACCCCTGCGGCGCTCTACGGACGTCCCACTACCTATTCCAGCACCCGCTGACGACCTAATCCAGTGCCCACTTACGTCCAGCGCCCGTTATCGTCCGGACACCGTTCCCGAACAAACGACCTCTGTCGTCTTACCATCCACCGTTCGCAAATAAAGACACGATTTCCATCGTCTACAACGGACCATCTGCGTTTGTCATCCTTCTTTGCTATTGCCAACTCCTTGTCTTTGTGTCCCCTGTTTTAGTTGTAAGGTCGATTGGCACTCACACCTCTCGGCCTGCTGCAACAACAGTACACGTGGTTATCTTGGAATAATGTACTTAATCCAAATATACACCAATTTTTTTCCTTTCAAAAAATGCATGCAAAGATAATGAATACAAAGAATTATATTGTGCATGTAATGATAAAATTTTATATCTCTTAAAATAAAATATACAGTATTCAAAGAGTTCATAAATTTATATGAGAAACTTTTCGTGTTGAACGTCCTTTTTAGCATATGAGAGAGAGAATGAGAGAGAGAGAGTCCTTGTAAATGTGTATGCATGTATATAAATATATGTAGTAATGATCCTTAGTAATAGTGGGATTTTTAGGTGTCCGAAAATTTAGTGTATGGCAGAACAGATGAAATTCATTTCATCGACTCTCTGCTTGCCTTGCCTGGTCATCTCTAAGTTTATGACTTTTTAGAGACAAAGGAATTGTCTCCTTGATTTCTGATTGGTTCACAGAATTGTCTCTTGATTTCTGATTGGTTTACAGGACTCATTTGACCATCCCTTTTTTCTTCACCTTCATTTAGCGACGATGACCTTTTGCCCTATTTTATTTATTTCGATTTTTTCTATTTTTTTTTATTTCTTTATGGCAAACCAAAATGGTTAGCCAACTTTTAGTTTTCTATTTTTTTTTAAATAGTGAACTCTTTATTTTTCTATCATTACACACACTTTACGCCCTAGTAAACGGATTTTATAACAATTATTAAATAGGGGTCAGTAAGGTTTCAAACTGGTCCTAATGGGTCCACTATATACAGGTGCACTCGATCTGATCATTTTTATCGAAGCTGATATTCTGTGATGGCATAGAGTATGTAGACTGTCAAATACCGATTTCCTGAGCTTTTGCGTCACAAAAGGTCATGGGAAACGTCGCACAGGATATTTTGATTTTCATTTACAGGATATGGCTTCAGCTGATCACGCAAGTGTTTAATTTCTTCATCAGTAGTTTGGCGTTTCACCATCTCCTGCAAATCGTATACATCGATAGTAACTGCATTAGTTGATCGAGATAAGCAGTCAGCTACTATATTCTGATCACATTTTATATGTGAAATATCAGTAACACATTCACTTATAAAAGAGAGGTGACGTTGTTGTCTGTCTAATTTCAGTGGAGTTTGGTTTGTAAAAGCATTACAAAGAGGTTTGTTGTCGGTTATTAATAATATATTGTAGATAACCGTGTGTGTATTTATGTGTTGTATTAGAAACACGTGTGTAACTCCTGGTAGAATATTAAAAGGTCCAACTACAAGAAAATGGCCGGACTTGAATTAAGTCCAACTGAAGATAAAAAAAAGACAAACAAAACCGATATACAGGGTGACCCCAAAAAACGGGAACTTTTTAACAATCCAATAAAACCAAGAGTGATGGAAGAAAAATATTTTATTCATAGTAATTGAAACCTTAAAACATGCCATTTAAGAAACAATGATGGAATTTTCATTTTTTAAAAATTACATCCTGTAGATGGCGTCCTCCTGTACGAATGCATTCTTGAAATCTGCTGTTGAGATTCCTCATTGACTGCTGCAACATCTCAGCTGGGATACTGGGAATTTCATCTTGAATTCTAAATGACGAAATGTTTACTTGCTCAAGTTCACTGTCTCGCAGGGTTGCCACTTGCTCATCTCTGGCAATACGCACTTCAAAAATTCTCATTTTTTGGGGTCACCATATATATATATATATATATATATATATTTATATAAACAAATATATGTATTAAACAAAACAATTTTACAATGGACATAGACAATAATATTTGTGTGTGTGTGTGTGTGTGTGTGTGTGTGTGTGTGTGTGTGTGTGTGTGTGTGTGTGTGTGTGTGAACGTTTGTGTCTATTCTTTGGTGAATGTTCGTATTTTGGTGAATGTTCTTACGTACGTGTATATGTGTATAATGTTCATAGCGTCTCCCACAAATGGGAAGACGCGGATCTTGTAAGAGAGCTTAAATTTTAGTCGCTGAAAGGAAGAAATGAAAAAGAGAACGAGGCCAGAAGTCGCCCAGTATTTATAGTACAGGGAGAATGACCCCTAGTGACAATTTGGGAATTAATGAGGAGCTAACTCAGCGACAATTTCTTCGAAAAGAAACCAATAGGAATCGATTGGTTGTCTACCATTTGGCGTCATGCTGCACCGACAACATAATTCGATCTGTCTTTAACAAGCTGAAAGTTACTGGTTTTTCAGTTGGTATAGGGGAGAGCAGTTATGTTTTACAAAGTCTCCTTTTATATTTTTGAAAGACTCAATCTCCTCTTTTTTATTTTTTTTGTGTTAAGTCTCGATTTTCGGTTCTCACGTATGTATTCTGTGAGTGGAAATATTTTATTGCTAAAACGTGGAACCAGTTTCGTATAGAAATTGGCCACTCCAAAGAATCGACGCAATAACTTAGAGTCGTTTGCGAGAGGAAATTCATTTAACTCCGCAAGTTTCTTAGTGCTGGGTTTAATTAATACCATCACCAGAAACACTGAATCCCCATAATTCAATCTCGTGAGCACGGAAGAAACACTTCGAAAGAGAAATTTTTAGATATTACTCACTAAGTTTTTGTAAGACTTGTTCGAGGTCCTTGGAATGAGATTCTTTGTCATCTGAAAAGATGAGGATGTCATCGATGTATATAAACGTACAACTGAAATCACGGAAGACGTTGCCCAGCATCCGCTGAAATATACTTGATGCATTCCGTAGTCCGAAAGGAATATAGTTGTACTCGAACAAACCAAAAGATGTTGTAATGTCCGTTTTACATACATGGTCCGGATGAAGTGGCACTCGATGGTAAGCTGATGATAAATCAATTTTTGAAAAGATTTTCTTACCATGCAGCTTAGGTGCCAGAAAATTTATCTATCAATCTGCTTTTGTCATTGTATTCAGTTGCCTGTAGTCACCTACAAGTCTGTATGTGCCATCTGACATTGATACCATATGTAAGCCTGATCTCCATTTCGATTTCGAAGTTTTTTGTAGATCTTCAAAGACGCTTTACAATCTGTAAGAACTGCTATGTCAATAAGAAAGCACAATTTGCTTTATTATTATTATTATTTCGATTTCTGCTATGGTCAAACTATCTCCCAAGTCTGCAGGAAGATATGGCTACATTTCATGATTTTTTTTTTTTTTTTTTTTGCCATAACATCAAGAGCGTTGCATGTACAAAGTTCTTCTTATGTGTGGGCTATATTTATCAAGACAATGTTTTGTGTTTTTCTTAAGCTGCGATTTCCAGGGATATTTTCTATGTCTTGTTGTGTTCCTTTTTTACCATTCCAAGCGCACCTACTATACCTGGTACTATTCTTGTTCTCATTTTTTTATTTCGATTTCCATGTCTTTATACTTCAATAATGTTTCAAAATCCTTGGTTACTATGTTACAGTCCACTGGTCAAACCATATCAATTAGTAGGCAAGTTTTTTCTTTTCGAGTTTTGACAATTATTTCCGGCCCATTTGTTTCAATCTTCCTGTCTGTAAAGATGGTTTAGTCCCATAGAATTGTCATGTCTTCTATTTCTGTAAGCGGTGCTGGGTGATGTTCATACCAGTGTTTATTAACATCTTTTCCAAAGTTTTTCCACATTGTCCAGTGTAAATACTGCCCCACTCTATCGTGACGATTTTCATATTAATTTGGAACAAGTACATAATGTCCTAAGGTTAGATGGTCTATGGTTTCATGATATTTGTCACAGAACCTGCATTTTGCATCTATATTATTATGTATGATATTTACCTGAAAATTATTTATTTATTTTTTTATTTCCTTTGATTTCTGGTGTATACTCATTTCTTTCCAGGTCCCGACCAGAGACCTAAGGTCAAAAAGGGCATCATAACATTTTCCATTGAGCAATTAAAAAACACATATTTTACATAGATAAAGCCCTTCGTAAGATGTGCGATGTACTCGTGAGAACATTTTTTTTTATTTCTTTAAGGCATGAGCGGTCAGGAATCCCTTTAATGATTCTATTAGAATCTTTTCCAATCAATCGGAGGGCTCCAACTACAAATGAAATTGTTGATGTTCCCATGCGCCACATTTTTGAGATTTCGATTTTAAGATCCTTGTATTTGTATCTTAAAAGATACATTGCAGTCTGCAGGGACTGCCATATCAATAAGGAGGCACTTTTTTGTTTTTGTGGTCTCTAATCACGATGTCTGGGCGAATATCTTTCATTGTTCTGTCTGTAGGTATTGTTAATTCCCATAAAATTGTTACAGGGCCTATCCCTGTAACTGGGTCTATGTGGTGTTCATATCAATTTCTTGCAGTTTCCTTTCCGTAGAAGTTGCAGATTTTCCAATGTAGATATTAGTCCACTTTGTCATGCCGGGTTTTATATTCAGTGGGGGATGATACCGTACAATCTGATACAAGATGGTTAATTATTTCTGGATATTTATCACAGAATCTCTATTTTAGGTTAAAACAGTTTTTTCTGTATTTGAGCTTGGCTACTTCTAGTTATCAAGCATTGGTCCTGTGCAGAAAGAATAAAACCTTCGGTTTCAGCTTTTAACCCAGCAACGAAGTAGCCACTGATGGGCACGGGGTTTGTCTACGTCATCTTGTTTGGTACGGGCAGAGTATTGACTGTGAAGCGGTTTATCTTGCCATCATTTCTGTATTTGGTCGGTTGCATTTGTCTTTGCTTTCTTTTTTAAGTGTGTTGAGCTTCAGTCGGTGTATTGTGCTTTACTTGTATTTCTGCACCCATTTGAAACTCCATTTTAAATTTGTTGGCTTCCCTTATTACTGAATAAAATCGCTTACTACTTTCATACACATATGACACATATCATCATATAGTCTTCTGTAG